AATATCTTCTTTCATTCTTTAGTTAAATTTATTTTGAATTTCTTATAATCTCGTCTTAGGAGTATTATCAGTAAATAGCTTTTTCAGAATAATTTAATTTAAATATTATTTTTAAAAAAATATTAAAAAAAAATGTTAAAAAAAGTTTCCAATTAATAATCTTAGTTTATTTATTTTTATTAATTTTCTAATAATTCTATATTTTTATTGTATAGAATAAAATATACTTTATGTAATAAACTCTTCTTCTTGAGTTTTTGGCACTTAACAAAAGAAACTCTTTTTTAATTTTAATTATTTTCTTAAAAATCAGCAACTATTTTTATATAATAAAATTAATTTCAAAAAAATAAATAAAAAAATGTTAATTAATTAATACAGTAACAACATATATAAATATATGAAATATTGCATATATCACCAATAACCCTAATGATTTTCATCTAAATGTACATAACAACTATTTGCATCTTTAAAGAATTTCATACAATTATCTTTCCAACAAATATGCATTTAACATCTTTTACACTCTACCCTATAACATCCATCAATTCTAATAATAAAGACTCCACAATTAGTACATTTCCTCGCCCCTTCCTTAATTAAATATTAAATATTCTAAGCTTCTGTTTCCTAATACTAGGTACATGTCATATCGAAATGATATTCCGCTGCACATTTTGAGCAGTAGGTTTTCTAACACTCATAGCATGTATATTTTTATAATTTTGTTGAATGTACCGCTTTACACAATTCATTAGGACAAAATTGAAGTTCTGTGAAATGATTTTATACATAATTATTAATGGACATTCTTTTTAATTTTTATAATCGTTGCTCGTCTTCGTTTATAATCTAAAGTAAATCCTCTATACATAAATCCTCTTGACAACTTGGACATTTAATCGGGAAGGAATTTACATCACCTAAACTTTAATCGAAAATGAAAACAAGACAATTAAAACAGAACTAATGTCCACAAATTACTAATCTATATCCATTGCAAATGGTATTTGCGCAAATCTGACATTCCTCATAAGTATATAAAAGTTGTTTGTTTTGAGTATTTTATTCTAAAAAAGCTATTAGTGCGTTTTTTGCGATTCCAACTTCTTATGGATAGCCTTATATGTATATATCTTTTGAAATATAATCTACTTATGTTTTCATTAATTTGAATTTTTCGGAAAATAATTCAAGTCCTTTTGTCCCATTTTGAAATAAATTTCGAAGATTTTTTCCTGCTATAGGTATTTTTACACAAATAGATTATCTTAAAAATATTTCTATTTCTTTATTTACTAATTAGTATATTTCATCAGAACTATATATTTATAATTCTTCTTTTATTAAATTTAAACTAAATATTACAGAGTATTTATTTTCTAATTCTTCTAATTTTTTCTTTCCTATTTCTGAAAAAATTAAAGAATAATCAACTTTTTAAGGTTATTCAAATAATGATACAATATGCGTCTTTTATGTTTTTTTTTAATTAATAATTTTTTATAAATAAAATAAAAAATTACTTAATTTTATTTTCTAAAATCAAAAAGTTTTGGTTAAAATAAATTATTAATAATCTTTACGGCATCATTAAATATTTTATTAATACTAGATTTTAATTAAATTTAAATTTATTAAGTAGAAGGTGTAAATCTAACTAATTATTTTTTAATTTTAATTATTTTTTATTACAACCACTTACTCAATTTCTAATTACTTGTTAAAAGTAAATCAATAATTTTTTACAATTTTAAATTATAATTAAAAAAATGAATAAAGTAAAGCCTTATTTCTACTTTTTATAAGCCCAAAATATCTTTTTTTCTATGTAATTGTTCAACATATTTATTCATTTAATATATATTGTGTTTTTGGAAATTAACTTTAGCTTAAATAAACCCTTTATTTTTTTTTTAATATATTAAATATCATGATTAGCTCCTTGTTTATAAACTAAATCTAATTTATCAATTAAAACTTATTTAAGAAAATCTCTATCTACATCAGGAAATCGTTCTACTTCAATATTAGAATATCCTAATAGATTATTTTTTTTAAGAACTTTTATTATACTTTTCTCATCTGTTATAGGTTACAAGTTTTTTATTTTTACAGTTTTATTCTCATTTATTTTTTCTATTTCAATTATTGAATAATCAATCATTAATTAATTTTATACTAAGTCACTAAATTATTTTATATTTTCTTTACTATTAAAAGTTATAATTGCCTATATATATAATAAATATATATATATATATATATATATATATATATATATATATATATTTATATATATTAATTAAAATATATATTTAAATAATAAATATACTGTTCTTTTAGATTTCCATTAATTCCATTTAATTTTCATATATTAAAGATTTTTAATATCCTAATCATGAATAATAAAATCATGGCTATTTAACTTAAGTCTTATAGTATTTCCTTTAAATAAGGTTTAATTAAAGCTTTTTACATAAATAGATGCATCTTAACTATCTGCAACTAAAACTTCTGCTTTACCTTAATTTTAAAAATACTTAACATCAATAATTTCATCTAAATTTTCTAATTAAAAAAAGTCTTTTATTTCCTAAACATTAACATCTAAAGGGAGTCCTTCAACTAAAAAAACATGCTCGTTTTCAAAAACATGGATATTCTACACTAGACCTCCTTTGCCTATTTTAGCCATTGATTTTTTACCTGCAGGAATATCCAAAATTTCATTTTTTAACTAAAATTTACATTCGTCAATTAAAATTCGAAATTCGTTCTCGATTTTTTCCTTTAAATTTTAATCACAGCTAAGTATAACGCTTTCTCCCAAAAAATTTACCTCGCATAAACAACCAAATTTATCTTCTATTTTCTTCACTATACTAGGTAAATATCTCATCAAAACATTTGAAATACCGAAAAATTCTATTTCTGCTAAATTCAAACTCTAACTTTTTATAAGTCTTAAATTATGCTTTTCCAAAAATTCAAATGGAGCAAATTAAATTAAATTTTTATGATCAATTTAAACACAACTACCTAAATAAACTTTCTCTTTTTAAATAAAAGAAATTGGAATAATTAAAAAGGGATGTTCTTCAATTAATTTAAACGCACTTTTTTCATTACAATATAAAAAATTCTATCTTGATTCAAAATGTTAATACCCTTTTTTCCGGTTTCCCGTATAAACACATAAATTCTTGTAATATTTTTTTACTAATACTTCCTAAACTATTAAATCAAAGTCTTCTATTTTAATACAAATACAATCTTTATCTATTTTCTCTTCCATTTAATCAATTACATTTTTCCTAACTTAATTTCTCCTACAAAAATCAGCCCATTCCTTCTCACTTTCATTTAATTTTTCTTCCTAATTCATCCACTAATAGCCTTAAAATTCCTCAAAGATCGCTTTTTTTTACAAAAAGCACTACCAAATAGTATACAAATCACCTTTTCTATTCCAAAAAACACAAGTATGTGCAGAGACTTAGCTTTTGCATTTAAACCAGCTTTTTTTTTCTTCCATAAAAACCTAAATAAATTTATTTACAATCCTAAAATGATATCTCTCTTAATTTGATGAATCATCTTCCTCTTAATTTTTTTCTTAAATTAATTATTTTTTAATATCTTTTAAAAACCCGAAAAATTAATCTTTCGTATATAAGCGATGAATAATTCCCTTTTAAACCTAACTCAGTACTTTTTGCCTTTAAAAGGCTTATTTTTAACTCAAAAACGAATAAAAATGAGGATTTTGTTAAAAAAAGCCTTCTTGAGGGTAAAAAACTTAACTTTTTTCCCCAAAATCGATCTAAAGATGTATATTTTTTATATTTTTTTGCCAAATAACTAAATCATATACATCTTAGATTAAAAAAATATTGAATTTTCTCATTTTATAATTATCATCTTTTTATCCATCAATTATATTTATTTTTTCCATAATTTTCTATAAATAGTAATTTTTGGCATCTTTTACATATTTTTAAGGAATAAAAATCATTATATCGAATACAAGAAGTGTCTTTTTCCATTTATTTATGTATTTATCAATAATTTCGTACATTTTTTGTAATTTCTCTCTTCTATATTTCAACTCTTTTTCTTCATAAATTATTTTATAAGGCATTTAAGCCTATTTTATGTATATTTCTTCTTCATATTAGAATTTTTATTTTATATTTTACCATATTTCTACACTTGTGTATATTATAATATTTTTTTATTTGTTTTTTTCAATATATTAGGCATCTTCTTCTTCATAGAAAGTAGAAATATATAGTTTTTTTTTGTAATTTTCTTCCTATTGATTATCTTACTCGTTTTCTGGATTTTTTTGATATTCAAGAAGTTAATAGGTGCCTTAAACTTCCAAAAAATCACGAAAAATTTAAAAAAGAGCATCTCTATTAAAAAAAGAATTTTCAGTAATAACTGGAATAATGTTAAAAGAAATATTTCCGCTTATTTTTTGTAAAATATAATTTAAAAAAAGCCATTCTATTTAATTTTAAAATTTTTAGAAATTTTATAAATAATTTTTTTTTCAGGATTTTCTTCCTTTACATCCTTTACATCCTCTTTTTTTTCAGAATAATATTTCAAAACTTCTTCTATATAAAAAATTTGGTTTTATAAAATTATAGTCTTCTATAAATATTTTGAAGTAAAAAAATCTTAAATTTATTTATAATCTAAAGTAACTTCCTATATTTAACCACTTTTATATTTTAAGTACTTTTCCTGTACTCTTTATTATTTTTATTAAAGAGATTTAATCAATTAAACAGAATAATCTTAAGGATTATCAGAAATATTTGGTAAATTTTAAACAGTTTAGTTTTCATTAGACGTTTTAAGTAATAATTCTTCAATGTATTACATTGCGATGTAATTATATATATAGAAAAGATTTATTATTATTTAAATTATAATGTTATAAGTAAATTAAAAAAAAAAAAATTATAATTATAAAATATGATATTAATTGTTTATAATTATTAAATATTGATGAATTATGATATAGAAAGATATATTATAAAAAAAAATTAATAAAAATATTATAAAGTATCAAAATTAATATAAATAATCAGAAAAAATATCTTTTAATATTAATAAAAAATAAATAAATATGAAAAATAAAAAAAATAAACAAATTAAAATATAAAAATAAATATGTATACAAATATAAAATTTTAAATAAAAAATTATATAAATATATAAATAAATAAATATATAAATAAATAAATAAATATATTATAATTATTTATATATATAAATATTTATTTATATATTTTTATTTATATTTATATTATATTTTCTTTTTAATTTTTTTATTTTTTAATTAATTTTTAAAATCTTTATTTTTATTTTCTTCATTCATAGTTTACATTTTTTTTATAAATGATTTTTATATAAAATTATTATAAATTATAATATATATACAAATATATCATATTTAATAATTTTTAATAAAATCATAAAAAAAAAATATTAATAATTTTTATTTATTTTTATATAATTTTAAAAAATATATTTTATTTTCATTATAATAATTTCTCAAAAATTTAAAAATAATTTAAAATTAAAATAATAAAAGCCTACTTTAATAATATAAAAGAAATTAAATAATTTTAATATATAATTTCATATATTTTTATAAAATTCTTCTATGTTTTCCTAAATATAATACGATGGTTAAATTTTCCCGTTAAATTAAACAATACAAATAATTTATTAAATTTATTTTAAGAAATAAATAAACTCATTCTAATTTTATCCTTTAAAAAATTAAATATTTTCTTATTAAAGAACTTCATTTAGAATATTAAAAATAGAAATTCTAAATTAAATTAGATTAATTTCATTTATTTAACCTATTTATAATTCTTATTTACTTTTAATAATTTTTTCTTAGAATTTAAAACTTTTTTTTCTTTTCTATATAATTAATAAAAAATACTCCAAAAATAATTCTTATTTTCTTTCTTTAACTAAAACTTAAAAATGTTTTTCAAAATATTTTCTTATATGAAATTCTATTTTTAACATTCACTTAAACAATTCTTAAATTCCAAAAAATTACTATTTAAATTTTTAAAAAAATACCAAATTTTGAATAAATTCTCACATTTTTTATCTTCGTCTTCTCCTAAATTAACCAAATTTTTTATTTATTCTATATATTATAACAATATTTACGAATATCTACCTAAATAATGAACATTTATTCCCTAAAAATCATTTTTTTTATTATTTTCAGAAAAAGTATATTATTCCAAAACATCATTTTTTTATTCTTCATAAACTACTTTGTTTTTTTATTTCATATGATTTTTTAATTTAAAAAGGAAATTCATTCTTGCTTTTTCTTCTTTTTCTTTAAAATATTTTTATTATTATTGATATTCTTTTTATTATTTTATTAATTTTTTTTTTCATTATAAAATTCATGTAAATCTTCCAAATTTAACAATTCAAAAGGATCTTTTTCATTTTCAAAAGAAAAAAACTTTTTTTTTTATTTTTTATTTAAAACAAAAAAATTAACTCATTCATTTTTTATTTTAATTACTTTTTTTTCTTCCAAAACTTCTTTTTTTCTTCCAAATCTTCTTTTTTTCGTTTTCTAATTAGTTTATTTTCAGCTCATTTTTTACTTATTTATTTTTATTTTATATTTTCTTATCTTCTTGTTATATATTTGATTTTGTTTCTTCTACTTCTTTTTATATTATTTTTTATTATTTTTTTAATTTACCCTACTATATATTAATAATATCTTTCTTTTATTTCTCGGTTTATGATTCTTTTTATAATGTACTTATTGTATTTGCTTTTTGTTTTATAGACTACGATCTTTATAAACTGTTTTTTGTTTAAAAACTTGCCTAATAAGTAGTTTAAAAAGTGCTTTATTTTTTTAAAATAACTTTCGTAACTTATTTTTTCGCTTTCACTTCTGGTTTTGATATATTATTTGTTTATTTTTATTAAATTGCAGGCTGTAATTTTTGTTTCTTTTAATCATTATTTACTTATTATTAAGTTTTATTATTTTCTGTTTGTAAAACTTCTTCTGCTTATTATAATATTTATTATATATGTAAATCGATATCTTCATTATCTGTTATATTTTTTTGATTTTCTTTTATTATTTCTTATTTTGGCTTTAAATATACTAATTATAGCTGTTTTTTATTTGAAAGAGTTTAATTTAGAAACTTTTCTAAAAACAAATTTTATTCAATTGTTTCACTTTCTTAAATTTAAAGTTTTTTCTAAAAAAACAAAAAAATATATTTAATTCTTTTAAATTTTCTTATAAGTTTTTATTTTCATCAAAATTAAAAATCATTTTTTGTATTAGAAAAATAATTTATTTTTAAATTAATATAAATATATAATATTTAAGCTATTAATTAATAAATAATAAACAAAATATAAATATATGAAAAAAATGGATTTAAACATATTAATTTAAAACGAAAATATATTTTTATTTATATAATATAAATTATTCTTATTCGTATTTTTTTTTATTCAATTATTATTTTAAATAAAAAAGAAAATATTCAATTTATTCATTCTTTTATATTTTTTAAATAGAAAATTTAAATTTTTACAGATAAGAAAATATGAACAAATAATATATACATATATATTTTTCTTGTTAAACTTATCTTAAAACAAAATAATAAATAAAATTATTATAGAAATATATATATATATATTATAGCTATATTTTAAATTATAAAAACTAGAAAAATATAGTATAATGAATTATAATAATCAAAGTGTTTTTAATTAATATAAGATATTTTTAATAATAAATATAATATTTAATTGAGATTAATTTATATATATATATTGATTATTTATTAAATTATATTTCTATATAAATAAAAATTATATAATTATTTAAATTATTGTAAATAAATATATTATTTTTTAATAAATATTTTTTATAAAAAATATTTTGAAAATATAAAAATAATTTAATACACAAATTATAAAAAATATAAATTTAATTTTTTTATAATAATAATAACAAAAAAATTAATTTATATATTAAAGAATCAAATATAAAATTTAATATAAATAATTATATATATCAAAAAAAAATGTTTAGAATAAAAATTTATTTGTATTATAATTAATTTATTATATTAATTAACAATATAATTTATTGCAAATTTATTTATAAACATTAATAATTATAATATTATATGTACAATCTACTAAACATGTATTTTTATTATTTTTAGTTTAAATTAATTTTTTTTTTAATGAATGGATGGACTAAATAAATTTTACATTATATTTATTATCTTAAAAAATCTATAAAATAAATTATAAAAAAAAATTTCAAGTAAAAATTTAATAGAAAATTTAATAAATATATTAATATATATATTAATATATAATATTTTTAAATATTTTTTTTTTTATATATCCTTTATTAAAAAAATAATAATAATATTTTACAACGAAATACAATTTACAAAAAAATGAAAACTTAGACAAAAATAAATCCTAAAAATAAAGGTCTAAATTAAAAAATTACAAAATAAATTATATATATTATTATAAAAAACAAAAAGATTTATTAAAAAATAAGCTAATAATATATTTAAAAGATTTTTAAAAATTAAACGATTGGCCCTCAATAAACAATTGGCTTTTAAAACTAGAACAAGTATTTAAAGAATACCCTACTCCTTATATAGAAGAATAAAAATATACATTAGGAAAAAGACTAAGTTAATGCTTAAATTACAATTTACCTATAGAGACACATAAGTCAACATTAAAAATATACAGAATAATATTCGAAAACTTATATTTATTAAAAGATTCAAATGAAGAAAATGGTGAAAATGGTGAAAATGGTGAAAATAGTGAAAATAGTGAAATTAATCAAAATGAATACAAAAAATACATAGCAAACAATTTAACAATATTTACTTTAGGTTTATTTCCTTTTTTTTAATAAGCATCAATTTAAGTACAAATAAATTAATAAATAAATATATCATTTAAATTAAAACAAAAAGTTAAAACCAGATATATTAGATATAATAGAAAAATATTTTTTTCCTTTAGAAAAAGAACTAACTCCATGTGCTTCTGGTTTAATAGTAAGCATTCTTCCAGGAATGATAGAAAACAGTGAACCTTTATAAAGAAAAACACAATAAATATTCGAATAACTATAAGAAATAATAGGTAAAAAATATGTATATGGAATTCTTTGGATGAGTATTTTAAGAATTCCTTCAGTTCGAATAGCAGCTTATACTTGTTTGACTAAATTATTTAAAAAACAAGAAAAGAACATATAATTAAGCAATTATGAAGAAAAAGAAATCCAATAAAATTTAAAAGAAAGCAAATTTTTATCCGAAGAAGAACAATAATCCCTTAACAACCTAAGATTCCCAAATAAAAGTGCCTTAATTGTAAACGCATTAATTTCAACTTTAGAAGATGAAAATAATATATGTAAAAGATGTGGTTTAGATTTTTTAATTAATTATTTTCCCATAAAAGAAAACGCATTAAGTGAAAACGATAAATTCTTAATAACATAAAGTATGTTACTTCTCTTAATAAAAAACGAATATTCAATAGTATGGAAAATACATCTTTGGCTTTTTGGAGAACCAGATACTGATTCCAAATTTTAGGCAAATGATGTTATTATTGATCTTTATTTTGTAGAAGGAATGAAAAGGACTTTTTAATTAAATAATAATTTTACAGATTTATGTATTCCTTTGAAAATTCTTTAAACTTTTTATCTTAAAAATAATCATATGATACCTTAAACTTTGAAAGGAATTTCTTTCTTTTTAATTTAGTATATTTTCTTTTACTATAATTAAAATTAAGTAAAATATATATATATTTTTATTTTTTATTTAAATTTAAGGATATTTAAAAAAGCTCTTAAAGATTACTTGAAAGTATATAAAGTCATTTTGATGTTATTTTCGCTAAACTTTGTGATGTTTTAAATTAAAAAGGTGGAAAGGAAGTACTTTAATTAATCGAATTTGCATTCTCCAATTTATATATGTCTTACGAGGAAATTGATTAAGAAGATATGATCAATACAGTACATAAACTAATACTTAGATTGGCAAAAAAGTTAGAAAAAAATGAAGAAGAAGAGGAAATTTTAAGAATAATAGATATATTAATGATAAGTTTAGAAAATAAAAACTAAAAAGAAGAAAAGGAGAGTACTGAAGAAAAAGAATTTGTGTAATTTATGGGTAAATACTATTTAGAAAAAAGTGATACAGAGAAAAAATTCGAAATAAGTTCAAAAATAATGATAAACTTAATAAAAAAAAAAGAGTTAAAAAAAGAAGATTTTGATTCCGAAAAATACATTGAATTTATATTCAAGAAAATGGAAAATAAAAAATAAGAAAAAATCCAAATTTTATGTGTAGAAAATCTTATGTAATTCCTAAAAATGATTCAAGATAAAAAAGCGACCGAAAAACTAAAATTGAATTTACATAAAAAAGAAAAAATCGAAAAAATAATAAATACATTATGGTAAAACATCGATTTTTTTCCCAAATAAAAAGAAACAATTGAATTTATGATTTTCTTTTTCATCTCGGAATTCTCCCAAGAGCTTTTTAAAAATTTCATTAAATAGTAATTTGAAGAAGATAAAGAATTAGCAATGAAAAAATACACCATTTTTTTCTCTCATACTAATAATTTTATTAGGTTAAATACTCATTTTAACAACGGATGTGGATTAGTTGAAATGCTAGAACTTTTAAATAATAATAATCCTATTTTAAGGAATTATTGTAAAGCTTTTATAATTGAAAACTCCGTGTTTTTATTTAGAATAATAGATTCTTTTTTATAAAGGATTTTTTAAGTTTAAGAAAATTTTGGCTATTTTTCATAGCATAATTTCATTTTAAAAAATTTTAATTATAATGAAGTTATTTTTGATATTAAAATGTTAAGTAGAATTTTGGATATTTTAAAAGATGTTTTCTGTAGTTATACTTTTTAAATTAAAATTAGTCTTTTTTTAAATAAAATTATTTAATCTTCAAAATTTTTAGTAATATTTTATAAATACTATTTATAATAAAAAATTAAATAAAAAAAAAGAATTAATTTGATATACATTAAACAAATTATATGGACTTAATATGTAATATAATAATAAGGTAAAATAAAAATAAACATGTATAATATACATATTTATATATATGTATATATATATATATAAATATATAAATATATATATATATATATAACATATATATATATAAACATATATATCTATTATATATTTTTTTTTTATAAAATATTAGATTTGTAGAATCTAAATATTAAATTCAGTCTGACGAATAACAAATAATTAAAATATAAATATTAATAACTACATGTTGTGAATTATTAGAAAAACTGATATATAACAGTGAAAAAAAACACATAACAATCTATATATTCAACAAAATTCTTGAAAAAATATTAAATATTTTAAACAGTTAAATTTCTGAATAAAATTTGATAAACTAAATTGAAATTCTTAACTTAGTATAAAACATAATTATGAAATTTAGAGGCTTTAAGAAAAATATGCAAACAGAAAACTATAAATATGATTAATTAAACTAAATATTTAACTCTAAAATATATTTTTTTAATCTCATAGAGGGTTTCTAGAAAACGAAAGATGCATTTGTCCGATCTAAATATATTTATATAATAACAATTAGCATATGGACACTATCATAAGATGTATTAACTGAGGAAAATTTAAGCAAAGTAATTACCTATTTATTCGAAAGTTACTGGTAAGAGTTATAAAACTAAAATAAAGAGATATATTTTGAAGAAAAAAAAAGAAAGACTACTGTTTAATTATAAGATTAATAATAATAATAATAATAATATTAATAATAATAATAATAATAATAATAATAATAATAATAATAAAGTAATTAGATATAAAAATAGCAATTATAATAGTATTATTAAAATGATAATAATAATATATAAAATCACTCAAAAAAATCATTTTAAATAAAAAAAAACTTTGACTAACTAGAAGATGATCATTTTTACTAAGATTAAGAAAAAAGGGATGCTTGTTCTTCTAAATTTTAAGAAATTCGAAATATTTTAGATTCCATAAAAACTATTTTTAATTATTTCTTTCATTTAAAAAATGAATAAGAAAACAACATAATTCAATCAACTAATTCTGCTTCCTCAGTTTTATATAACATTTTTACTTTAAAAATATTTACATCTTCATTTTCATCTTCTTAGTCTAATTAAAATATAAATTATGATGATAATTTGACATAAAAAACTAAAATATGTAAATAATAATATAAAATAGTATGCAAAAATATACTAAACGAGTTTCCAAGATTAATTGAAAGTTACCTTAAAGTATGGTATGTTGGTGATAATATTAAAAACCATAATATATTTAGCAAATTAGGTAGTTAATAGTATACATTTGAATTCTTTTAAGATTACAATTGCAAGTTAGGTTAATAAATATAATTCCTAATTAACTAAAATAATGAGTTTTCGCCTTCTTAATAAATCTAAATAGATATATTAAGTATAATGTATCCTCTAGCATTCCAATTTCCAAATTAATTTATAAATTGTGTATTATAATTATGGATTAATAACGTAGAATTTGTAAATTTTGAAGATTTTAAGGAAAATAAATTATCAAATGAAATGCTTTGTTTATTAGAATTAATTTCATTTTTAAATTTAAGTGGAGATTTCTTAATAAATTGTATATCAAAATCATAATTAATATCATTAATTTAATATAATTAGAAGTAGTATTAAAAAAATTAAAATAATAAAGGTATTTCTGTCTGTACAAAAGCTAATGTTATGAAAGAAAGTTCTATTTTATTCTTTATGTACGAATTACTTGTTTATATACATTTCGATATATAAAAAGATAATAATAATGCATAAATGATATCTTTTTGGTATTCTCTACTTTAATTTCTAGCGTAATTATTATAAAAATATTATAAATAAATAAATTTATAATATATATAACTATATATATATATATATATATATAATATATATTTACTTATTTAATTTATACAATTTTAGTGTATTTAATGATACATGCCATTTTTTAACTTCTATTTGGATTCTTGAAATTTTATTAATGTGTTCTAGGAAATATTTAGTTAAAAATCTTCCTAATGAAAAAAATATTAAAACAGATTTATAAGAAATTCTTAAATTTCATATTTAAAATTTAGCTTTATTTGCATCATAAAAAATATAAATTTAAATTAATAATAATTAAAACTCTTTTGAATTACACAGTCCTTTTTCTCCTTCTTTATTTGAAATTTATACATTTTCGCACTAAAACGAAAAGGATTTTATATAATAATTTTTAGTAAAAAATATAGATAATATAAATTAATAAACTTTTACTATCAAAGCATCTATAATATGCTTTAAAACGTTAAAAAAACTTCTTTATGAAGTTTTTTAAAATTGTATTGAAAATGAGTAAAAAACAAGTGTTATTGCGAAAGAATTTATAAGTGTAATACTTCCTTCAAGCTTTTATATAGATAAAAAAAAAGATATAGAATATAAATATATTTCTAAATAATGTGCAAGTGAACTTTGTGAAAAATTAATTTAATTGTAACCATATAATATTATGAAAGAATATAGAAAAAACTTATTAGACGTTTTTATGATGGATGTATTGAAATATAATTTATAATTTTAATATAAAATATATGATTATATAAATATATAAATATATAAATATATATATTTATATCATACATAAAATTTATAAATAATATTTACATTTAATTTATTATTATATAAATAGGAATTTTTTGATTCTAATATATAAATTTTACATTATTGGAAAAACATTATAAATTGTCTTGATGAAGGTTGCTGTCTTTTTGATGAATTTATTGAAAAGTTTTTACTACGAATTTATTTATTTTTTATTTATTTTTATAGAAATCTTTTTTTCTCAAGTCTATTAAGTAAAAGTTTAGAAATGCATTAAAAAATAAAAAAATTTCAAAGGATTTGCTTTATTTTATATAGTGGAGGGTAAGATAAATATCGAGCAAAATTAAGCTTATTATTAGAAAATATAGGCGAAATTATAAAAAATATATAAAACCAATCTGTTGAATTAATAATATTAGTAAGATATAAAAAAAATTATTAAATTAATTTTCTAAATATATATATTTTTTTTAAGGTTTTATTTTGTTTAAGAATTTTAATTTTAAGATTAAGTTAAAATGTATTAAATGAATTATTAAGAAACACATGGCCAATTCTATTGAATTTATTATTATAAATTTTTGACAAAAACTGCAAAAACGACCAATAAATTTTTCCAGATAATCCTAACTTATTAATAGCCGCTTTAAAATTAATAGAATAAATTTCTCTAGTTTAATTAGAAGAATTTTATCTTCATTAATGGATATTCGTTTTCGATTGTAAAAAATTTAAATATATATTCATATTCATATTTTTATTTAAAAACAATTAATAAGATTTTGGTATAAAACTTGAACATAATGATACAATTGAAAAGGAATTAGACTATCCTTTTGCTTTTAAACCTGTATTAAGTTATAATTTTAACGGAAAATTTTAAATTAATTATGAAAGCAAGCTTTTGGAAGATGATATATAATACGATTATAATAAAAAAACAAGAAAAATAATAATTAATTAAACTTATGTGGATGATATTAAAAAAATTCAAAATAAAATTCCATTCTTTTGTTAACATTTAATAAATTTGAATTAATAAAGATGGACTGTTGATTTACAAACTATTGAAAATGTCATTGAAAAAGATTTTATAGATTTTGATATACATATTTATAGAAAAGAAAAAAAGAAAAGAAACAAGCTAGCTTCTTTACTAAAATTAACTTTTGAATTTATTCAAAAATATACTAAAAAACAAATATCATAATATTTATAAACAAATACATAATATTTTATTTTTATAATGTTTAATTTTTAATGTAGTTTTATTCGAAAACTTTATCATTTTATTATTAAAATATATAAAACAAAGGGAAATAAATATACAAATATATATTACATATAAATAAATATCTTTATTTATTTTAGTAAAATTACATAAAATATGTTAGTATATTTATTTCTTAAATCCTATCCTATTTAAATTAATACTAAAGCTACAAAAATTATATATATATATATACATATATATATATATATATATATATATATATATATATATATATATATATATATATAAAAAAAAAAAACGTGAATATAAAAATATTTTAATTTTTTTATTTAATAATGTCTGTCATAATCACATAATCTTATATTTTCTAAATTTATAATTTATTTTAAAAAAATTCCATAAATTTTAATTATAGTATATCATTTTAAATAAAAAAATACAAGTATATATAAAAAAATCTTAATAAATGGCCTAAAATGAATAATTTGGATACACTTAACTTCCAAGAATTCCTAGTATATATTAAAAAAAAAAAAAAATTAATAAAAATAAAAAAGATATACCTATTTTCGACCATATACATAAAATAGCATAAGAAAACCTAAAAAAATATCCAGAAATATAATCAGAAAAAGCCCTTAACTTTCCCCATTTAATAAAAAGACTTGATTGTGGAGAAGGTTGGTATATATATTACACTGATAATTTAGAATGTCATTCCTATTTTGAAAATAAGTAAATAATTCTAACACTTCACGGCTTTCCAGGCGACTATAATTCCTTTTCATAAATCGAGTATAATTTAGGCAATAATTTTTGTAGGTTTATAAATTTATTAGTACCAGGCTTGGAAGGTATAGAAGGAGAAAAAGAAACATAAAGGGGCACATTTAAAGGCTATTTAGAAGATATTGCGGATTTAATCCACAAATTTATTCAAATTAAATTAAATAATACTAAAATAGTATCCTTTGGATATTCTGGAGGAAACATAATATGGCGAATATACTAAAATAAATATAAATAGTAATGTAAAGCTCATATAAATATTGCCGGTCCTCCTATTATATGGTGTCCTGCCCATTTTTACATGTATAATGTATTCAACAGGTTTGATAAAAAATATTAAATCAGAAAAAATCCTTTATTATTAGAAGAGGAATAATTTAGGTAAAAAATATACGAGGAATTTCAAAAAGATCATTAAGGAAAATATTTTTTACTAGAAAAAGTGAAAATATAAGCAGACAACATATAAACATTAATGATTTGGTTTAAAAAATTTATCAGTTTTTAAAATAAAGGATATAATGAATATTTTAAAATAGGACATTAACAAAACCATATATTGAGATTTTTCGCTTGCGGAAATTTCGATCCTTTAGTTGATTCTTAAATTTTAAGTTATGAATATTATATTTCGACGTATTTATAGTATGTTTTTTCAATTAAAGATGATTAAATTATTTAAAATATTCAAAAAAATACTTTTTTGGGGAAAATCAAAAACTTTAATTTTAAAAATTTATAAGAAAACTTCATTTTTGTATTTGATAAAACTGGACATACAATTCATTTGAAAAGAGCAAAAGAACTTTCTTTCAAAATTAAATGTTTTATTGAACTTATTGATATTTTACCTGACGATTATTATAATATCTAGTCTTTTATTGATAATTAAGCTAAAAATTGTAATTTATAAAATATGTTTTAACCTAAAATATGATTTGATTAATATAGACTTAACTCAATTTTTTATTTCTTTTTTTTTTTTTTTTTTGAGAAGTTTTTTTTTTTTAGCTATTTTGTTTTTTATTTATTAAAAATAAAAAAATAATTAAATAGATAATTTTAATAATATATATAAAAATATTTTTAAACAAAAAAAATGTTTTTACTTACTAAAATCTTAAAAATTCTTCCCAAAAAAATAATTAAAGTTAAAACATTAAAATTCAGTACAATACGTCCTCAAAATTCAGCATTAATGTCCTAACAATAATACGCTCAAGAAATCCTAATATCAAAGCGCAAAAAATACCAAGACAGACACGGTATTTTCAAAATAAACGATATAGACGAATTGTTTGCATTAAGTCGAAATAGAAAATTATGTTTAACACTAAACGATTTTATATCAATATATTTAAGAGTAACTGAATTAAGAATAAATACTTAATTAAAAAACTTATACGGTTTAGCTGAAATATACCAAAAAATTCAAAAACATATAAAACAAGCTGATGAAGAAGTGCCATGCATTGGTCGCTTATGTTTATCATTAAGTCGAGCCGATTTATATCAAGTAAAATATATTAAATATTAATATATGCAATATACATATATAAATAAAAGGATATAAATTTATGGATTGATTTATGTGATCATATTATGAGTAATAGATTTGATTGCGAATATGATGAAGTATATGCAGCTGTAATAGGCTTAAATAACTTAAAAGAACATTGTGAGAGAGAATGGTAACTATAATTAGTAGAAAAAGTATATTAGAAACTCGAATTGGCCTTAATTCATCATTTGAAATTGTAAAAATACAACTTGAAGTCTTTAAAATTGATAACTTAAGTAATGTTTGAGAACAAACGATGCACTGATAATTTTTTAAAGGAAATCGAATATTTACTTGATTATTAATTAATGGATAAGGTAAGTCGATTTGGAAACACGAAGGATTTATTCGATTCGAAAATTGAAGATGAAATTCTATTTCCTTAATTTGGAATTGAATATTAAAATAAATTATTAGAAATATTATCTTCATTTGCTTATTTTTTCGGATAATCGAAATTTTAATCTCTGCTTTTGTTTAATTTTACAAATGTTTACATTACAGAATGTATAAATAGAGAACAAGATTTTATTTAAATTAAAAATGATTAACCAGAAAATTTTTAAATAGATAATCCTCTAGAAATTAAAGGCACATCTTTAACTAGATTAATATATTTCTGGGACTATATGATATAGTAAAATCCCTCCTTGGTAATAAACGAAGTAATAATAAAATTCATTATTTAAAAGCTTTATGATGAAAATTAAATCTACAGTATTGAAGATCTTAATACTATTTATAAAAGCTTTGATCTTTTACAATTCGGAAATTAAGAAAGGGAAAAGTTCAAGTTTTTTTTGGAAAAAAAGCTCTTCGAATTTAACGAAAATGAGTAAAGTATTAAAATAGAACATGTTTAAGAATATATATAATTAAGAAAAATACATCACTCTGATGAATTAACAATAAATAAGCATATTTTTTAATTACTTGATAAAATTATAGTAAAATTCCTTTTCGAGTTCTAACCTTATAGTGTCTATTACTTTATACATTTAATAGATGAAAATGATTAAATACCTTTTTTTAATGGATTCATTCTTAATTTGCCTTCATTTGTAAAATAAAATATAGATAAATTTGAATTTGATGAAATATGTTATTTTGTACTTATTTGTTAAAAAAATTCAGATAGTCTAGTAAATGAGAATACATCTATTTTCTGGTCTGAATTACATTATATTAAAGAATATATAAAATAAATTGCATTTTCAAGAGGATTCAAATTAGATCCGTCAAGTTATTTTTGTTAACTTTTAAATATTGTTAATATGGCAGAATTCTTTGATTAGTGAAAATTAAATAATTTATATATTATATTATTATAAAATGTACTTCTGAAATTTTAATTTTTTTTTTATATTAGTTTAATTTAAATTTGTATATTTATTTATTTTTAAAATTATTAATAATTTATAATATCTATTTTTCTTATTAATTTTATTTAATTATGTAAATGGTTTTATTTTATGATTTAATAATTAAAGAAATATATAATAATATTAAACTTAAAAAATATATACTTATATAATTTAAATTTATGTTTATAATTATTATAATTTTTTAAACAAATTAATTTAAAAAAAATCATATTATTTTTAATTCATATTTTTATCTGTACTCATAAAATATATAATTATAAATAATATTTTTATTATCATTTATTTCTTAATAATATGATTTTTTTTTTATTTATTTTTTATAATTATCTAAATTATTTTTTCTATATATTTATATATAAATTAAAATTTTTTATCGCTGCCAAAATTATTAAAAATAATATTAAATATAAAAATATAAATAAATGTGTTTTTTATGTCAAAGCTAATACCCAACAAACCGAATGTAAAAAAATATTATTTATTTGAATGAAATTATAGATTACTAAAATAGTTGTATTAATTAAGAATGTAAAGAAAACTATTTGACTTTAATATGTCAATCCTGTCATAGAAAAATGCATTAAACCATAACTTAATAGCATAAAGGAGAAATTGATTTAGATGATTTTGTGCTATAATTTGAAGAAATAATTAGTAAAAAAGGTTTATAAAAGTTATTCCTTAATGAAAATATTACAATAGAGAAAATAGAAAAAATTGAGTGTTAATTAAATCAAGTACATTTGAATTAAAGCTCAAAATTATTTTTAATTAATATTTATTTTTTTATAAGCTTAAATAATTAATAATAGATGAAAACAAGAAAATATTTTAAATAGCCATAAAAAATGCAGGAATATATTTGGAAAATATAAAATCGAATTCACATATTTATTTGATTGATAAGAATGATAAATATTCAATTATTTAAAAAAATTTAAATTATTTAATTGGAACTGTAGATTTTAATGATAATGGCAATGTTTTATGGAAAAAAACAGACAGATAATTATCAGATGAATAATAATTATCATAAATGAATTTAGACTTCGATAAATTTTTATTTTAAATAGTATTTTTTTTTTCAGAAAAAAAAAAAAAATATTAATAAAATATTAATTAATTTTATTTTAAGGAATAATAAATAAATTATTTTAAAGATTATGAAAATGAAGTTAATAATTAATCAAGATTATAATCAACTAATCAATAAATAAGTTCTTATTAAATAGAAAGTATTAGAAGAAGCCAAAACTATACAAATAATAGTTATTAAACTCATAGTAAAGAAAATGAAAAATAAAGATTAATGTAATAATTTATTATTAAATAAGAGGATTAATTATTTTAATTTGAAATATATAAAGATTTTTTATTTAATAAAAAAGCCTACAATGATTAAGAAATAGATGAAAAAATTTTATTTTTATAAACATAGTGTTTAGAAAATTGCAAAATATAATTTTAAATTATGGGAATAGATAAAAATGTATAATAAAATATATTTTATTTTTTTATATTAGAAAATATTTTCTTAATATATAGAGAAGCAATTATGTAAATTAAAAAAAAAAATATAAAAAATTAGAAATTTTATCAAATCTAAAAATATCACTTTTAATAAGAATGATATAGTAAACTAAATGGTATATTTAAATTATTAATTTTTATTTTATTTTAGGTCGTAAATACTAATTTAAGTCAAATTTTTTAATTATTTTAAATTTTTTTAAAGATTGTAATTTAATATATATGATTTTGAAATTAAAGTTTATATATTTTTAAATTAGTTTAATGTATAAAAAATATATAATAATTAGTATAAATATATTTTAATCTAAAGGGGGTATTATTTTAAAATATAACTTTAGAAATTTAATAAAAAAAAATATATATTTAAGGGAGTAAAAAAAATAAAAAGAGATAACATTTTTATTTTATTAAAGAAAGTTAAATAAAAATATAAAATTATTATTAAATAAATATTTTAAATAATAGAGCGTAAAAAATATTTAAAAAAATATAAATTTTGATTTTATAATAACAGGGCGTAAACTTTTTTTTAGATATTTTAGTTATTATAGTTATAGGGGGTAAAAATAATTATTAATAGATTTTTAATTCTTTTTATAGATAGTAATATAAATTATATAATTTAATTTTTAATATAATATTTAATTTAGAGAGTAATCAAATTATGATTAAATTTCATATTTAAATATTTGAAACTAGTTTGTAAATATATATTAAAATTAAAACCTTTTAAATATTTTTTTATAGTACGTAAGATTTTTCTTTCTATGATATATTAATAATTTATAAGGATGTAAATTTATATAATATAAAAATTTTTTACTATATATAAATAAGGGAGATCAATTAGTAAAAATAAATAAATAATAATAATATAATTATATAAATTTAGACAGATGTAAATATAAAAATAAGAAAAAAAATATATTATAAAAAAATAATAGAAAGTAAAATATTAATTTAAGTGTATAAAAAATAATTAAATATACCAAAAACAGATTGTAAATTAAAAAAATATTATATTGTTCATTTATAAGATTTAAAAAAATAAAAGTTCGTATAAAAATATAATGCATCAAAAATATAAAATCATTTTAAAAATAGCCAGTATATTATAAATATTATAACAAGTGACTTATTATTAAATAAAAAGGATGTAATAAATATAAATAAAAATACTAGAAATTATTTATAATAAAATTTTTAATAGAGTGTAAATTTATATATAGATATTATTTAATTTAAAATAGAAACATTATGGAACTGTAATTTAAAATAATTATAAATAAAAATTTTATAATATAT